GGGGGGTGGTCTGTTATTGCTTCACAGAGACGTTCCTCTGGCAACGTAGCCCTCCGGTGGCATTAGCAACCCAGGAGCAAAGATGGGAATAGTCTGGAAAGAATGCTAGACCAGAAGGATTATGATCAGAAAACATAAAGGCATTAATCTTAAGTTTCAGAGCAACTTTCTATGGCAAAGGACATTCCAAACTCTGGGTAAAGCCACTGGAGATAATCTATTGTTAAGCTATAAGGCAAGGAAAAGTGAAGCTGAGGACACTGGGAGGCCTTTACTATAGGGGTCCCAACTGGGCCCTTCTTCACAACTGTCAATGTCCTCTGCCCACAAAATGGCTTTGATACATTTCATCATTCTCTATATTTGATTGCCACATCGAGAGCATGGATATCCCTGCCAAAGATGTTCTCAAGTATTGCTGGGAGCCAAAACTAAGAACAAAGAATCTTGTGACTAGGCGAGGCCTTATCTGCATCCTGCATTTTGTTAGCCCCCTAGCAGTCAGCCCAGCCCAGAGTTACAGTTCCCTCCTTCACTCCCACTCCCTCTAACCCTTACCACTCCTCACCCCACCAGCTAAGAACCAATGCGCCTGTGACAGATACTCTCCTGCCCAGCTAGCCCTGCCCCCCTTTGTTAGCCCTGTATAAATACTCTTGCTGCTGAATAAAATTTTGAGGCTTGATCAGAATACTGTCTTGCCTCCATTCTTTTCTCCCGCCCATGTTTTCTTCAAGGTAAGGTCCTCCTCGGGTTCCGCGCAATAACTAGGTCCTGCGGGTCGGGACAAAGTATAATAGTTACCATGACAGTGAGAATTTCTCTCATCCCTGTCTAGATTCCAAGTCATACTAATTATTTCTCAGCCTGAGTCCTCAGTGAAAGATTCATCAGTCTCTACTTGCAGCCTCTTTTTCCATAGAGCTCAAACACAGCCCCTGGGAGCAGCAGACTTTGAGTCATGCTTTACCATCTTTCTTCCCACCTAATGTCAATTGACTTGCACAATCTGCATTCTATGTGACTGGAAATGTGAAAGTGTAAGAATCCTAAAGCCAAAGACAAATAAGACTGTTAGGATCCCTACTATGTGCATAATCAACCTTGGATTTCAACCTGGGAAATGTGGGTTCCAGCTAGAGACCATATGTTTCTATTTCCTCTCTCCCTCTACTATTTCTCTATCATTTATTCTGGGGAAAAGGGAGTAACTTGGTTTGAAGAATTATAAGTTTTCCTTATGATTTATAGTGCAACTGTCTTGTTGTGGGTAATCTATACCTTCTTGGGTATAAAAAGAGGAAAATCCTTAGTGACTAAAATCTTTAATGTGAATTGGTGCTGCAACTTTGGAAAACAGTTTGGAAGTTCCTCATATGGTTAAACATAAAGCTACCATTTGACCCAGCAACTCCATCCCTAGGTACATACCCAAGAGAAGTGAGAACATATATTCACATAAACTTATA